AAATCCCACCAGCACGCCGGCTTCCAATTTCTCCATGTCCTCGCCAGCACTTGCTTTTGTCTGTTTTTATTTTTATTTTTTGCTTTCTGATAGTATCTCCTGGTGGGTGTGCGGTGGTGTCTCACTGTGACTCTGACCTGCTGACCAGTGACGCTGAGCAACTCGCCCCGTGCTCGTTGGCCATTTGCGCATCTTCTCTGGAGAAATGTCTATTCAAGTTCTTTGCCCATTTGTTAACTGGGTGGTTGTTAGGAATTTTGCTTTTTAAAATACGTCTAAACTATACAAAGCCCACCGCTGACAGCCGTCCCAAACACCCACCCCTTGTATCACCGACATGGACACTTGTGAAGGTGGACGTGGGCCTTGTGGGGGGCAGTGCTAGTTGGGTGCTTGGACCCCAGAAGTCCCTCTCTGTGTGTCCACCTGTCCCCTGGCAGGTGGTAAATGCTTGGTTCTGTACCCCGGTCTCAGCACCCAGACTGGCTCAGAGGACCCTGTATGAAGCCAACTGCAGCCAGGAGGCACTGTTGCTTTTTCCGAGGGACAGTGGCCAGGGCAGGAGGGGTCCTTTATCTCTCTGGGTCTCAGCGGAGATCCTGACACAAGAACCGCCTCTCTCCTCATATCTCCATCCTTGACCTGTGTGCACGCCTAGGGGCTCACTGAGAGGCGCCTCTGGGCTGGCTGGTTATCAGCAGGGCAGCCAAGGGAGGTCCCTGGTTTCCACAGGTATAGTAGGCGGGGCTCCTCAGAGGGCACGGGGGTGCCTGCACTGGACTGACAGCTGGAGGGAGAGCATCCCCGACACAAAGCATTGGGGGGCACCGGGGTGTGTGGGCACCATGGACCAATGGAAAGGTCTTGAGGCGGGCCGCGGTGTGCCCCTGCGCTGGGGCTGCGGACCCTGACCCTACTGTGTGGACAGTGGGGAGCCACATGGGACCTGAGCAGGACGCCAGACAAGTGGCAGCTACACCAGGCTCCGGGGAGCTCACGTTCTTGTTAGCTCACCCTCGATGCCTCTTGAGCGTCCGCCCCTGCCAGGGTGGGGAAAACCCAAGGAAAGGAGGGTGGCAGGGCACCCCTCTGAGGTCGGGACCACTGAGGCGGGAGCCAGGAGGGGGTGGCCCTCCCATTCCCTGAGCCCACTTTGGACTGAATGAGGGGTGGTAGCATGGGACAGCTTGGGGGGTTAACCCTCCTGCATGTCCCATCCCCACCCCTCCCTCAGCCCCCAATAATGGACAGTCAAGTCCAGCCAAAACCCCTGCTACAGTCCCCAGGCCAGGGTGGCCAAGGCCCCTCTTGTGAAAAAATTCCAGGGCCCCCACTGGTCCAGACCTCAGGCCAGCCTGTTCAGCCCTCCTGGGGCCCAGGCAAGGGGACAGGTGGCTCCAAGAGATGGTGATGGGCTGGACTGGCCTGGACGTCTGCCCCTCAAAGTGCCTGGGCCCCAGGGAGCCCTCAGGGGTCCCACGGAGCAGCCTCCAGTTTTGATGTCCAGCCATGGCCTTGGCCCAAGTGCCATCCTGCCCAGTGCCTGCGGCGGACAGAGATCGTTTTGTCTCAGGACTCATGATGATAAAAGGGCTCTTTCCCGGCTCTTCCCGCGTGCTGGCAGGTCACACTGACTGGCCCCACAGCCTGGGCCTGGGGCTGCTTAGACACAGCGAGCCCAGCCGGCTGCTGCATTCCAGACTCAAACAGGATTTGGGGATTAGCATTGTTTTAAATTATTCCTACACCTCACCCTCCAGCGGGGATCCCGCCGTCTCAGTCTGCCAACCCCGGAGGGCAGGGGCAGCTGGGCTCCCAGCCGGTTCCCCTCAAGTGTGAGGCCAGGGTAATTTTGGGGGTCACACAGCCATCAGCAGGAACCCCTGATAGTTACTTACGTTAAGGTCTGTGCTGAGACGCTTCTAGCACTTCAAATCTGTTTAGGACACAGCTGAAGAAGGTATTTATGTGATTTAAAAATACATCGAAATAGGAAAAAAGTCTGCTAAGAGACTGACCAGCCCGATGGAGTGTGGGTCTGCAGAGGGGGACGCTGTGCATTCCTGTGGGGAAGATTCTCAGGAAACAAATGAACAAGACCAAGCCCTTGCTACCAGGAACATCCGCGAGCCTGTTGGTTCATTCATTCATTCATTCAATAGATCTATGCCAAGGGCCAACCAGGGGAGGCGCTGTTCTGGGGAGGGGGGCGGGAACGTGTCCCCTCCCCTAGTAGGCTCAGCCAGCTCCCAGCCAAGGTCGCTGCCCCCAGGGCTGAGGACAGAGGTGGGGCCAGTACCCCCACCATGAAGCCACAGAGCCTATGGGTGTCCACACCCCCACGCTCTCCCACCATCTCCCAGGTGCCCTCAACCACACACACCCCTCCCAGTCTCCTGAAAGACTCCACATTACTAACCAAGAATGTTTTTTTGCAGAGGGAAAGCAGTCACCTTTCCCACATCCCCCCCACACCCCCCTGTTATCCACTGAGCTTGCCCCAAACACAAGCTGGATAAGTATTACTTCACCCCAGTAACATGTGAGACCCAGACGGCAGTGTCCAGCCACCCCTACCCCCATGTGGTGGGCCCCCAGCCGCGGAGGGCAGAAGTCCGTGACAGGTGCCAGGTCTGCTGCTGTCACCCAGTGGGAGTCGAAGCCCCCTGCCAGGGCTGGGCTCCTGGTGGAGGACGGGGCAGGGAGCCAGCTGGCAGCGGGCCTGGTGGGCTCATTTCACTCAGCATAATGTCCTCGAGGTCCGTCCATAGCCCGTGTCAGAATCCTCCTCTTCTGTGGGTCCACCCCACAATGGATGGACCACGTTTTGTTTGGGCTGTTCAAGGTCCCCGAGATTCCATATTAATTTAAGATGGCTTTTTCTATTTCCGCAAAAAAAAAAAAAAAAAAAAAAGGTCATCAGGATTTTGAGAGGGATCCCTTTGACTCTGTAGTTCACTTTGAGTAGTGTCGACGTCTTTGCAGTAGTGAAGTCTTCCAGTCGGTGACTATGGGATGTGTTTCCATTTTTGTACGTCGTCTTCCATTTCTTTAAGCAGAATTTTTCAGTTTTCATTGTACAACTCTTTCACCTCCTTAGTTAATTCATAAGCATTTTATTCTTTTCGATGCTAGTGTAAACAGAATTGTGTTTGTAATTTCCTTTTCAGATTGTCCATTGTTTGTACAAACAATGCCACTGACATAGAAATGCAATGGATTTTTGTGTGTTGACTTTGTATCCTATTTTGTTGAATTCATTTATTAGATCTAATGGTGTTTTCCTGGAATCGTTAGGGTTTTCTACATGTAAGATCATATCACCTGCAAACAGATAATTTTACTTCTTCCTTTCCAATTTGCCTAACTTTTATTTCTCTTTCTTGCCGGATTGCTGTGGCTAGAACTTCCAGGACTAGGTTGAATAGCAGTGGTGAGCGTGGGCATTCTTGTCTTGTTCCTGATCTTAGAGGAAAAGCTTTCATCTTTTACCATTGCATGTTTGATGCGGGATTTTCTTACATGACATTTATAATGTGGAGGTATAGTTTCCTTCTATTCTTATTTTGTTGAGTGTTTTTATCATGAAAGGGTGTTGAATTTGGGCTAATGTCTTTTCTGCATCAATTGAAATAATCATATGGCGTTTCCCTTAATTCTGTTAACATGGAGTATTACAGTGACTGATGTTCATATGTTGAATTATCCTTGCATTCCAGTAATAAGTCCCACTTGGTCATTGTGTGTAATCCGTTCAATATGCTGCAGAATCTCATTTGCTAGTATTTTATTGAGGGTTTTTGCATATAAAGTTCATAAAGGACGTCATTCTGTAGTTTTCTGGCGCGTCTTTGACTTTGGTGTCACGATAATGCTGGCCTCATTAGAATGAGTTAGGAAGCGTTTCCTCTGTTTGGGAAAAGTTTGAGAAGAATTGGGATTAGTTCTTTGAGTAAAATTCCCGGGTAAAGCCGTCAGGTCCAGGGCCCGCCTTTGTTGGGAGATGACTGGTGACTGGTTCAATCTCCTGACTCATGATAGGACTACTCAGAGTTTCTGTTTCTACATGATTTAGTCTTGGTGGTCTTGTGTTTCTAGAAATTTGTCAGTTTCATCTAGGTTGTCCAATTTGTTGACATACAGCGCTTTCCTTTCGAATGTGATTTTTATGCCATCTGTCTTTGTCTGTCTATCCACCCGTCCATCCGCCCACCCTTCTCCCTTCATCCCTCCAGCCACCTGTCCACTGTCTATCCATCCATTCTAACCCAGATGTTAGCCCTTGGCCCTCTGGCCTGTCCCTTCCCCGAAGTCCCCTGACTCTAGACCGATGTTTGAAACAGCCTTTGCTGGAGCCCTGGTTATGGGAGAGGTTCCCTGAGGGGCATGGTGTCACAGCTGACATTGTACCTGGTCCTCCTTTCGGGACAGTGCCAGGGACGCCCTCTGAGACCCGCTGGCTTTTCCTGCTGCCCAGCCCCCCGGCCCCGGGCTGCTCCTGCACTTGAAGCCCCATGAGGGCTGCCAAGTGTCACTGAATATGTGTCCCTGGCGGCATGGTGGCCGTGTAAGCTGAAAGAGGGACAGTCCCATGAAGATGGGTGCTCTCCAATCCCCAAATTGGGATGTATGGCTAGAGATTTGGGGTTCAATAGTTTAAAGGAGTGCTAGCTGAAAAATGTGGGCTTTGGGATGTCATGTTTTGGGGGGCCAGGTGAGGGCACAAGACCCAGAGCTGCTCCCGAGCCCTGGCGTGGACGTCCCCTTGGGCCTGGAAGGGTCCTGTTCTGAAGACATCTCTCTGGGTGTCCATCAGTGGTGGCTGTTGGCCTGTCTAGGTGGGCAGTGCAGTAGGCATAGCCCACCCCTAGCAGACAGGACTCAGGCGGGCTGCTGTTGGGGTGTCTCTGAGCAGAGGCTCCTGGTGCCAGGGGCCTGCCCAACGGTGCAGGTGGCAGAGCCCTGCCACAAGGAGAGCTCATGCCCGTCTGTCCCTGCAGGAGATTGTCCTGGTGGTGTTCTTTGGGACGGAGTACGTGGTCCGCCTCTGGTCAGCAGGCTGCCGCAGCAAGTATGTGGGCATCTGGGGGCGGCTGCGCTTTGCCCGGAAGCCCATTTCCATCATCGGTAAGTCACGTCTGTCCCCACAGAAGCCTCACCCCCAGGTTTCCAGGCCAGGGCTGGGCACCTTCCCAGGAAGAGCGGATTTGGTGAGGTGGACCCCCATCCCAGAGCCAGCAGCAGATTCCCCAAGGCTGCTGTGCCTGTGACAAGGCAGGACTCCAAGGCCAGTGGGGTAACCTCCCAGGTCCCCCAGCACAGGAGCCAGCCTCAGTGGCTAGGTCCCTTGCCCTCAGATGCCACTCACAGGACAGGGGTTTCGGTCATGCTCGGCACAATGTGGGTGTGTGCTGCCCTCAGCGACCTGCAGGCTGGGGTTGGAGAGGCGGGATCAGGTGGGCTCAGCACATGCCCAGGACAGAGGGCTGGGTCTCCCAAACGAGGTGTCCCTGTGTCCTTCTTGTGGGGCCCTGTCCTGCCCGACCGCCAGGCTCCTTCCCCTGAGCCCGATGCCGGGCTGGTGACAGTGGTGACCTGCTGCTTTCCCAGACCTCATCGTGGTCGTGGCCTCCATGGTCGTCCTCTGCGTGGGCTCCAAAGGGCAGGTGTTCGCCACCTCGGCCATCAGGTACGCCCGGGCTGCAGGCTCTCCCAGCGGGGGCGCGAGAGCCATGGGGCAGCGTGCTGGGAGTGGGGGTGGGGACAGGCTCAGGGCCCCAGCTGAGTCGGGTCCAGACCTGATACGAGCTCTTGCTTACTTCTGAGGCCATCCGCTTGGGGACCTCAGTCTGCTCATCTGTAGATGGGTGACCCGGGGCCTCCCCAGAAGGTGGGCTGGGGACTGAGGGCGCTTGGCCCCCCGGCCTGGCCCTGGGCTTGAGGAGGATTCATGTGGGTGGCCGGGCGGGCTCCCAGCCAGAGAGTGATGGAGGCACCCGGCGGGGACACGCGGCGTCTCCGTTGCAGGGGTATCCGCTTCCTTCAGATCCTGCGGATGCTGCACGTGGACCGCCAGGGGGGCACCTGGAGGCTGCTGGGCTCCGTGGTCTTCATCCACCGCCAGGTGAGGGTCTAGGTGGGGTGCAGGGGTCCGGGAGGGGGTGAGGAGGCCAGGGTCTGTGAGGCGTCTCAGCCGAGCCCCGGCCTGCCAGGCTGATGATGTGCCCGCATTCCTTTGAATTGGGGACAAGAGACTGTTGGGCAGCTGAAAGGACGGACATGCAAGATAGCAAGAGGTCCAAGAGGCTCTGAGATCTAAACCGGGCCCGGAACAGCCCCGGTGAGGCGGGGGCGGCCCGTCCATCTCACCTGGGCTCTGCGGGCAGGGAGCCTGTGCCCATGTGCACAGCCCACCCGTCCGCCCGGGCGATGGCCGGGGGGCCCACCTGGCTCCTGAAACCCCACAGCAGTTGGGGAATTTACTAAAGTTATTGGAAATAGGTTATTTTGACGTTAGACATCCACATGTGAGACGTGCTGGGATTTATGCAGAGCTGTCTGGTAACCGGCGAAAGTGCCAGGACGTCTGTCAGAGCATCTCCCAGTGGCCCCAGGTGCCTGTGTGTGCTGACTGTGCCCCCCCCCCCGCTGTCCCCCAGGAGCTGATCACCACCCTGTACATTGGCTTCCTGGGCCTCATCTTCTCGTCCTATTTCGTGTACCTGGCCGAGAAGGACGCCGTGAACGAGTCGGGCCGCGTGGAGTTTGGCAGCTACGCGGATGCCCTGTGGTGGGGGGTGGTAAGTTGGGGTCTTCAGAAGGGGCTGTCCTGTGTGGGGGCCGCGGGGCCAGTGCCCCCTGGGCCTGGACAGAGGAGGGGGCGGGACATTGCCTTGCGGGCCCTTGAAGGGCTCTCATTTCTCGAGATTTTATGCCTCACTGATGGGGACTCCGAGCTCAAATGCTGGGTACCCCGCCTGGGCAGAGATGGGGGTTTGAAGCCAGAGGCAGCCAGGCCGGATCCGTGCTGTGGGGAAAGGACGGGGCACAGGTCAGGCCCTTCACTCCCCACCTCTGCGGCCCAGCACGACCTCCTTCAAAGGGCTCTAGGGCTCAAGGAGCGAGTGCCCCAGGAGGGCCCAGGACAGAGCCTGGAGCAGCGAAGTGGGCGACAGCAGGTGGACACTGGCCCGTTATGAGCTGTTGGAGGCAGAGCGGCCAAGTAGGAGCCCCTTTGAGCTGGGGGGCTGACACCCAGGCTTGCTCGGGCCAGGGAGAGGAGGGGTCACAGTCTGCACGAGGCGGGTACCAGGCCCTGGGGCAGCACCGGGTCCAAGCAGCACCAGGGCCAGTGGCTGTCCCAAGCCCTGGCCATGTCTGTCTTGTCTGTTCCCTTCCATAAGGAGCGGGGCGGCTTTCTCTTTCCAGGGCTCCCCTCCCTTCTCCAAAAGGGAGCCCCACCCCAGCTTGTCCAGGTGAGGCAGGAATCCACTCTGTGGCTGCAGGCAGGCATGTGCCCCTACCTGGTGAGGCCAGGCCCTCAGGGAGGGCTCCTGACATCGGCCGAGTCAATGTGTTTTCTGGAAGCTTCCAAAGTGCCAGGCTGCTCAGTGAAGGCAGTGACATGCGAACCGTGCTCCCCAGGTTCGGGAAGGCCCCGGTTTCGGCCTGTCTGCTGGTCTGTGCCCCATAGGCCAATGTGTGGCAGGGCTGCGCAGGTTTGGGAGGGAGGGCTGAGCCCCCAGCAGGGAGCCTGCCTGTGGTGGACCAGAGGACAAGTCTTGGTGACAGGCAGGGGACAGGCTACCTAGAGCAAGGAGGATTCCTGGGGGGCTGGAAGCATGTGGGCGAATGCCCACGGCTCAGCCGATAAGCAATACCCAGCCTTGGCGCTGCCCCCCTGCATTCCCGGCTGCTCCTGGAGCTGCAGGCAGCAAGGCTGCCCCCCTACCCCCCGCCCAAGGCACAGCGGCGCGCCCACTCCCACACCTGTGCAAACATCCGCCCGCCGGCCGGGAAAACGGCCCCTTTGTGCCCAGCTTGGCACCGGTGCCCCGGCCCTCGCCGTCAGCTGCAGCCCCAGCCTCGGCCACCGTGGGCCCCGGCCTGCCCATTGTCCCCCCAGGCCCTGGGGCAAACGGCTCCTATTCATAGCAGCGGCTGCCCCTGCAGCTGTCCGGCGGGCCCCGAGGTTTGAGTTATGGGCTGTGTTCCTGGCGCGGCTCGGACAAATAGAACTCCAGAAACTAAGCCGGGGCGGCCTGACTGGGGGCTGTAAGCCAGTTCACGTCTGTGCTCCAGCAGTTGCTTTCTATCAGTTTCCTTTGTCCTGGCTCCGTCCACCCCATGACGGGTGCCATGCCACCCCTGCCGGGCCCTGCCCCAGGCGCCTCATCTGGGCCGACAGACGAAGGGCACGGACCTGACAGGTGGGGCTGCCACTGGGCCCCTAACAGGACGAGGGCCACAAGCGAGGCCATTTCTGATGTGCACGTGGGACCGCCCAGGAGCCAGACCAGCTTCTTAGAGACGTGGAGGATAGACCCTGACACAGGGCGTCTGAGGTGTGGGAAGGGCCGTCCACTGCATTTTCTTTAGAGAGCTGGGGGTCCTGCAGGGGGCGGACACGCGTGTGCCCGTTGGGCTGTAGGTGCGGTGGGGCTGGAAGGGGCCCAGGTGTCCTCAGCCCCTACGCTCAGCTGGTGTTTGTTGCGAGAGGTGAACGGTGAGCTGATGTTCCTCCTGTGGTACCTGGGCCACTGGGTGGGTTAGACTCTTGGGGCTGTCAGAATAGAGCCCCGCAGGCTGGGGCCTGAAACAAAAGACATGCGTTGTCCCAGCTTTGGAGACCAGAAGTCCGAGGTCAAGGCATCGGGGGGCACGCTCCCACTGCGGGGGGGTCCTTCCCGCCTCTTCCTGCTTCTGGGGGTACCAGGTGCTCCTGGGCTTGTGGCCACATCTTCTATCTCTTCTAAAGACATGCGTCACTGGATCAGGGGCCCACCTGGGTAACCCGGGGTGCTCTCATCTCGAGGTCCTTAGCTTCCTCACCTCGACAAGGACCTTGTTTCCAAAAATCCCTATCCCGGGGTCTGGGTGGACAGAATTTTGGGGGACACTATTCAGCCCAGGGCAGCAGGTGTCCCGGATGGGATTCACGAGAAGGTCCCTCCCCTCACTGAGACTCAGTTTCCATGTGTAGCGAAGATGCCAGCTAGATGCTGAGTGATTCCTCCGAGCCCCCTGCCCCTGGGGGAGGGGGGGTGCCCAACTGGCCTGAGAGCTCCCTGCTCCCCCACGTGTGGTGCCCCACGCCTGGCTGCTGGTATTTGTGGAGGATTTAGACATTTTTCTTCACCCTTGGAACAAAATACATTTGTTTGTGTTAAAGTTTGAGTGCAGAAAAAGCAGTTCTCGCAAACACGGACTCCTCTGTTTCGCGCCCGGGGGCCTCTAAAATCAGAGGCCGCTGGGCTCTGTTTACCCCCCGCGTCTAAATTTAGAATTTAGAGTGAAAACCTGGGAGCTCGCCCCTCCATCTCAGCTACCATTTAAAATAGTCCGACTCCTGTTCCCTCTCTCCTCTGCTGGCAGCCCCAGAAGGTTCCGGCCTCCCAGGCTGCGTTACATCCTGGCGGGGTGAGGTCAGAGGGGTCTGGGGACCAAGTGGGGCCCTGGGTGAGGACAGCCCCCGCCCCCAGATATTCACATGCAAGCCCAAGTGGGTGGGTCGAGTGTCAGGACCTCATTCAAACCTGAGGAAACTGAGGCCCCAGGGATGCAGGGGTGGCAGGCCAGGCCCCGCCCTAGCACCCAGACCCCTCCCATTCCTCCGCTGCCTAGAGCTCCTTGCAAAGCCTGGGAGGGCTGTGCAGCTGAGAACGGAGGGTCTTCAGGACCCCAGGCCACTGCTAGCCCCTGTACAGCCTGCGCCTGTAGACCATCTAGCAGGGGTCCTGCAGGCTCTGGGAGCCCAACCAGAGAGGGGCTTCCCAAGGAAGGGCCTTTACAGCAGGGTTTTGCAGGATGAGTAGGCGTCCACAGGGCAGGTCCATCTACTGCCCACTGGCCAATACCAGGGAGGATTTGTTCCATGGACTTGGTAGGCTCAGTGAAGGTGGTCTACAGGATTGATTTCCTTTGGGGTGGGGTTCAGCTCATATCAGCGAGGGTAAGGGCTTTCCAGCTTCAGCCCGAGGAAAAGAAACACAGTCAGCATTCGAAAACACAGTGAGACAGGAAGCGGCGTGGTAACATAGCAGTCAGGAGCATGGGGCTGGAGCTGGACGTGGAGCAGTGTCCCAGCTCCACCACTGACCAGCTGTGTGGCCCTGGGCGGGCTACCCAACCTCTCTGGGCCCATCTGTAAAATGCGGGTAAGATGAGCACCTACTTCCTTGGTTTGTTGGAGAGTGAGGTCAGCGGGAACACGGAAAGCTGGGGGCACCGGTCAGGATGCAGTAAAGGCTGCTATAAATTTTAGAGGGCCGTTACCAGCCACAGCTCTCTCGGCGTTCCCCAAAGCCAGACACTGGGGATGGGCCCATAGCAAGCTAATTCACACTGAAGTGTTTACGGCTGCTGTGGTCCCATCACACTCCTGGTCCTGCTCTGTCCCCAACCAGCTTCCTGCCTCCAGCACTTTCCTTGCAGTCGCCCCTCTTGGCGCATGTGCTTGGGGCCCCAGGGACCTTGTGTTTCTGATCCCTAACCCCAGAGCCTGGGCAAGGCTGGCAGTGGGGCAGGGGCGCGCGAATGAAGGACAGTCCTTCATCAGGCAGCGCGGTGGGGAGACAGTGAGGCCGGCTTCCCGGGGTGCAGTCAGCTGCACCGTTGAACTGGCCTCGGGACCAGGGTGGAGCACAATTGGTCCCTGCCTCAGTTTCCCCATCTGGAGCACAGCAGACAACAGGGTCTAACTCCTAGGGCCGACGTGGTGCTCACCGAGAGCGCCATGGTCCCGGGAAGTCGGCACCTGTTTCTGTTGCCGTGACGTCTTTCCTTGGGTGACGAGGCCCTCTCGGCATGAGGGCACATTTCCCCACTTACAGTCTGGAGTTGGGCACTGGGCTACAGCAGCATTGGGCAGCCCTGGCCTTTTACTCCCAGTCGTGGTCTGCACACGGTGATTTGTGGGGGTCCCTGGAGGGCCTCCCGAGGAGGTGACATCTGAGCTGAGACCTCAGGGCCTCCTGCCTGGGGGCCTCGAGCGGGCTGTGCTGTGGGGTGGGTGCAGCCTGGACGGCACCCAGGTGTCCACAGCATCGTGTTGGCCTCTGTGTGGGGCTCCCGGTGAGACCCTTCAGGAGGAGGGAAAGAGAGGTTCTGATAACCCCTGTGGTGCTGGCATGGTGGTCCCCAGGCACAGGCTCCCTCAACAGTGCAAGCGTTGTATCCCCATCCAGCTGGTGGCCGGCTGGTCTGTGAGGCACACGGGGGGCAGCGACGTGAGACCAGCTCGGTGCCCGGGCCAACCGAGGCCCCAAAGTTTCCGTGAATGAGCCCTGGGCCTGCTGCTCCGGCCTGTCACTGCCCTGAGACGGCCTGTCACCCACCCAACCTCCCTCTGCCCACGCCTCCCCCCCACGGCTGCCCTCTGGCCCCGTCCTTCCGCCACGCAGGGTGGTAGCTGGAAGATGGGCGAGGACCGGCCCATGACGGGGGCCGGGAGGCAGCCACTTGCTTCGGCTTTGTCTGTCCTTCCTGGCGTCATGGTGTGCAGGGTGGGGTCGCGCAGGCCCTGACCATGCCAGCTTACCAGCAGGGAGGCCCCGGGCACAGTGACTGCCCCTCCCAGCCTCAGTTTCCCCCTCTGTAACATAGCCCCTAACGCAGCATAGCTGCGAGCTTAGCCAAATGGAGGTGCCACCCGTGGGGAGTCCCTAAGCGCCCGCATTGGCAGTGTCCGTGCTCCCACTCTCGGCTGCCCTTTCCCTCTGGACAGATGGCCACGACATCTCCAGATGTGTTCGGCCTGTGGGGGTGGCCATAGGCTGCCCGCCTGCCCAGTGGGGTCAAGGTTTCTAGGCTGGCCCTGCCGTTGCCCTGGGAGGCTGGCCTCTGGGATGCTGCCTTAAAAAGGAGAGAATTCAATGGCACCAGCGCCAGCTTCTCAGGGCAGAATGTGGGGTGTGGGGGACAGGACTAGAAGGTTCTCTTGTGCCTCCAGTCCTCCGAAATTTGAGTGAAGACTCAGAGGTGACCACACGCCTCAGCACCAGCTCCTGAGAGGACGAGGACAGCTCGGCCCCCTCCCACGGGCCGCCTGACGTGTCCATGGGGTTGCGTGTGAGCTGCCCGGCGCCTGGGCTGACTGTGTGTCCCCGAGTTTGTGGGCCCAGGGGACGTGCAGATTTGCATTCGGGGCAAGTTCCGAGCACAGCGGCTATAAAACGACCCATTCCTGAGCTGCTTGTGTCTGTAAACTCAGGGAAAACAAACAGCTCTGTGGGGATGGGCCGTTTCCTCAAAGAGCTGAAGAGCATCATTAACTTGACAAAGAGGGTCTGTGACAGGGTCTGTGGGGCCCAGGCCATCCTGAGCTCTAGGCGTGCGCTCTCCACAGGAGGGTGGGGGACACCTGGCCCAGGGCACCCCGACTTGTGCTGACCAGCCAGCAGGGCATCCCAGCACCTCCCACATGGGCTTGGGACCAGGCCGAGGGACCCTGCGGGGCTCTTGTGGGCTAAGGGAGGCGGTCTCAGGCATGCTGGCCTGCCCCCCCCCCCCCCCCCCCCACTCTGCATTCATTTCCCGGTCACTGTGGGGTTTGTTTTTGTGGGGTTTTTTTGCGTTAATCTTGATCATTTGAAAGGTTACATTACATGTTATTTTTCTTGATGCCTGAGTTTTCTGGCAGCCCCTTAAAATCTGCCCCCAGGCTGGGCCTGCCTCAGAGGCTGCCCAGCGGCTCGCCCCAGGCCCAGCAGCCCTGCTCAGGACCCTTTACACTTTCAGCAATGATCGAAGACCCCAGAGCTGCTGGCACGTGGCGCATTTGAACACGGAGACATTTTAAACGTGCTGCCATGTTAATTCAGTAAAGTCCTAATAGGTGTTCGTTGTATATATGTTAATGTACGTTTACATAAGTAAAACAAGTTGATGAAAAAGTGTGGTATTTCCTGGGAGAGGGTTGGGTGCCATGTTGCGAGAGCCCCGCCCGTTTGCTGCCTAGATCTGTCTTTGCTCCGAATGCTGAGCTCTCTGCAGAGGCGAGGGGCTCCAGGCTCTCCCAGGGTCCCCTTACCAGCCAGCTGGCTGTCAGCTCTGCCTGTGGCCAGCCCAGCGTGGTCTGGCTGCACCCTGCAGGTCCCTGGGCCATGTTCCCGGTGTGCACGGCATATGTACGTGTGTATGTGTGTGACATGCATGCACGTGTGGGTGCCATGTCGCTGCCTTGCACACGAGGCCTTTGCGTGGCTCAGTGTGTGTGTGCTTGTCTGTGGTGTCCCGTCTGTGTGTAAGGGAGGTGTGCACGTGTGTGCCTGTATGCACAAGCTCAGTGGTCCGGGCAGGGATCGGCTCAGTGCCCGGGCGGAATGGAGTGTGTGTTTGAAGGACAGTGGCAGGGAAGTGCTCCGTGTGGGCAGTTGTGGGAGGCAACTCAAGAGCACAGAGGGACCAGAACGCCCAAAGCCACACGTAGACGCAGGCTTGGGCCCCTGCGAGGGGTGCTTGGCACTGGACGGGCCAGGCAGGCTCAGCAGTGGGCGGCCAGGAACGTCCCTGGTCATGGGAGCTGACCCACGTGCCCTGACACGCCCATGTCCTCTGTGTCGCTGGGCCGCCTGTGCTGTGGTCCTTTCTGGTTCCCATAGGCAGGCCTCTCATCTCGCTCCACAGCTCTGAGGGGTCGCAGGCGCCGTGAGTGAGCCTGTCTGCCTCACCTTCAGGCTGATGGAGTCTGTTCAGTGGGCCTTCCAAGTCCTGCCGCCATGTCCCTCACTCCCCACACTGGCCTCGGGGGTCAGGGGATTGAATGCAGGCTCCACACAACCTTCCCGGGCATGTCAGAGGCCGTCCTCGCTTGGCCTGGACTGGGGTTCCCAGAGGGGAGACGCCAGCTGCCCAGGCAAGACCACGGGACAGCAAGTCCAGCCAGGGTCATTTCCCACAGGCCCCCGGAAGCGGCATGGACACTCTGGTCCATTCCCTGCCGCCCTGGGCTGCGGGCGTGGGTGCCCGCAGGACAAGCTATGGCCCAGGGGCATCCTAGGTCTTCTTGCCAGGCTCAGAGCAAGCTCCTGGAAAACCCAGTCTCTGGGGGCCGGTGTGGGCTGGGGGTGAGGGGCTGAGCGGCTGGGCCCTCCCGGGTGGGCCCTCGTGTCCCTGCAGGATGTCATCTTCAGGCTCACCCTTCAAATGCCAGCAGGAGGCGAGTCCGGGTGCGGGCAGGGCAGGCGCGGCCCCCACTCCCGTGGTCCCGCCACAAGCCCTGGACGGATGGCTCCCCCACCGAGAAGAAGGGTTGAGCTGCGTCTGGTTCTCTCAGAAAAAAGGACAGAAGGAACATGTGGTGACGGGTGGCGTCAGGAAGTGGCGTGTCATCCCCGTCCAGCTCTTTGTCAAGGACTGGCCTCCTGGGGGCCTGTGCACAGCGACGTCGGTGGCCTGGGTGGCAGCCTCCGCCGGGATGGGGCAGGCGGGTGGAGTGGGGGGCGGGCCTCCTGGCCTGCGTGTCCACCAGCAGGCCCTGGTCCTCCACTGGGGAGAGCTATGTCCCCCACCCCCTCCCCCATGAGCTTTTCCCATTACACGCTGTGGGTTGGGGGACCACTCCATGCTGGCCCTGGAGCTCTGGATGGGCAGCGCTGTCTTATGATGGGACCGTCCCCGGCCTCTGTTCTTCACAGGGTGGCAGGTTATGGGCGGAGGTGGGTTCAAGCTGGACAGATGCCCATCTGGTTCTAGGGCCTTGACTGCTGACCACTGCCCCTCCCCATTGCAGGTCACAGTCACCACCATCGGCTACGGGGACAAGGTGCCCCAGACGTGGGTCGGGAAGACCATCGCCTCCTGTTTCTCCGTCTTCGCCATCTCCTTCTTCGCGCTCCCGGCGGTAGGTGCCCCACGTTGGGGGCGTCCCGCTGCTCACCAGCCCCCTGGGCTCCGGGGTAGGCAGGGCAGACCCACTTACAGGGAGAGTGCAGCCAGAGCCCGGCCCGCCTGCCGTGGGGCCCAGAGGGGTCCTGTGTGACAAGGTGGCTGGGCGAGGGCCTGTCCCAGCAGACAGGGGTGCAGCCTGGCTTGTTCGGCCCCTGAGGGGTAGGGAGGCCCCATAACAGCTGCCACGTGACCGCTAGAGGTGGCACCTGTGTGTCTGGTGAGAGAGCAAGTGGTCCTGCGCCGTGGCCTGGGAAGGGCTTTGATCCATGTCCTTTCCAAAAATCATAGCCCGTGAGGGTTAAAATCTCCTAGTTCACTGTGTGAGTGGGAGAGTGGGTGGGTGGGGCACGGCATATGCATTGTGTGTGCACGTGTGTTAGATTAGCAGTATGCGTATGTGTTGTGTGCATGTGCACATGGGTTGCCTGTATGTACGTGTCACATAGCTGCAGTGTAGTAATGTGAATGTGTGTGTGTATGACTTGATCCCCTCTGTGGATGGGGAGCTCCCTACCCGGTGAGCTGGTCCCTTCCCCATTAGCAAACCCGGTGCAGCAGGGGCCCTCCTCCTGGGCGCTGCCTTCTGCCCGGGCAGGCTGGCCAGAGGTGTGGCCTATAGTGCCAGGCAGGTCTGGCCTTCCCGAACCAGCGACCTGGTGCCCACCGGTCTCCCCAGCTCCCGCGTCCCGCAGGGTGGACCCAGTCGTGGCTGCCTGAGTGGCTGTGAGCCCCGGTTTCTGTCCCTTCCCAGGGGATTCTTGGCTCCGGTTTCGCCCTGAAGGTCCAGCAGAAGCAGAGGCAGAAGCACTTTAATCGGCAGATCCCGGCAGCAGCCTCACTCATTCAGGTGACGGTGCCCGTCGTGGCGGCCCTGTGGCCGTCATCTCGTTGTTACCCAGCCTGGTGCCCGCCCGGGTACATACAAGCTCGCGTCCATTCCGCGCACCGGGAACTGCTCACGAGCCCTGGCCCCGTGCTGACCTGGCCCGTGAAGCTCATGGGGCCTTTGCTCCGCGGACCCTCCGGAATGTGGAACAGCCACGTTCCGCGGCAGACGTGCTCGCCTGTTGTAACTTCTGGGAAATGCCAGGCGGGCCGACAGGGTGGGTACCGGGGCGGGGGCAAGCCCGCTTCCCTCCACCAAGGCCCCATGAGGCCCCGTGGAGGGTCACACCCTGGGCCGGGCCCGGGGACGAAGAGGTGGCCAGCATGGTCAGTCCTGTGGGTCCCTCGCCTCCCGGCCACAGCGGCCGGCCCTGGTGTTTCACTCCGCTCGCCTTTCTTCCTTTTCCTGCAGCCACTCCCCCCACCCCACCCCGGCATGGGGGCTCGTGTGGAAGGGAAGAGTAGGGGTCCCCAGGTGGCTGTCCCCACAGGTGTTAGGCCTTGCTTGTATGGCGTCAGTGTGTCTGGGCCACTCCTAGCACCCACGGGGCTCAGTGCTTCCTGGGGATGGCAGGTGAGGACCAGGGTGGTCTGGACCCACGGCGCCAGCTCAGCTTCCAGAAGGCTCAGCTGCTGCCGTACACAGGCTGCACCTGTGCTGAGGCCTCTCGCTGCCCGGCGGGGAGCCCGGCCAGTCAGCCCCTTGCTCCCAAGGCTGCTGTGACGATGCTGCCCCAGAGCTGGGGGCCTGGAGGAGGCAGCACCAAAGAGCAGTGGGGAAGGAAGGTTCTGGAAGCAGACAAGGAGGCAGTTGGCCCTGAGCCCCTGGACTCGGCTGTGGGACCCCAGGCTCCTGGAGCACAGCAGAGAGTTGGGCCCTTTTAATGTAAGCAGAGACCTAGGCACAGGGGCCACTTTAAGATCCTGTCCTGGAGGGTCTCGGTGGCTGGACCTGCTGCGGGCTGAGGCGCAGGGCTGCGTGGGCCCAGGGCCTGACTGGGGGGTGACCAGGCAGGGGGCCTGGAGATGTGGGATGTGGGACCCTCTGCCCGGCACGGTGGCTGCAGTGCAGTGTGGACCCCTCTGGGTGCCCCCCAGGGGTGCTCTGGGGTCGCATCTGTGGCCCCGGCCTCCTGAGCGCTCTGCCCCGGGCAGGGCCGTGGTGAAGGCTGAGCGGCTGTCAGGACTTGTCCGGCCTGGGAGCCGGGGCTCAGCGGAGGCCTTTATCCACCTCGTTGCCCCGAAGCCCTCCCATAACCTACTGTCTGGGCCTGGACATTATACCTGGACAGGCAGGAAGTAAAAGCCAGAAAGACAAGGGGCTGGACCCCCTCAGGCCCGGCTAGTGGCCCCACAGCTTCGTCTGTCCGAGAGGCCATAAATCAGGCCTGCAGCCCGGGCCCAGCCTCAGGCAGAACCGCACCCTCAGACGAGCTCCCTGGGAAGATGGGGGTTAGGCAGCGAGCTTAGGGGGTGGGGACACGACCAAAACAAGGAAGGACTGGAGCTGGGCAAGGAAGCGAGGTGCCCGGGGGGTGGGTGCTTGTGGGCAGGATGTGCTCAGGCTGCTTGGGACGGGGACGTGGGGGCGATTTGGTGAGCGTGTGGTGTGTGGGTTCAGAAGGGTCAGGAGTGCGGCCTTTCCCTGACTCCTGAGTGCGTGTGAGGGCAGCAAGTGCCCCCCACCCCGGCCACCATGTCAGCCAGGGTCCCATCACAGGGAGGGTGTCACTGCCCCCCAGAAACCCTGCCAATGTGCCAGCACCTTCCTCACCTGTCCCTCCCTCAGGGTTTCACCACCAACAATGACAAGGCCCCCTGTCACCCCTTCCCGTCCCACCCCTGCCCACCCAAAGGTGGCACGGCCTCCTCTCCAGGGTATCCTGTGTGGTAGTCCCCTGGGATGGAGGCTTAAGCCCTTTACCCACGTGCCACTGGAGGCTTCCCACAACTTCAGCATGGCACCCGGGCACCTAGGCCCCACACGCGGGCCTCTGGGGGGCGCGCTGCTTCCTGACTGCTCAGCGTTGTCTCCCGCCAGCCCCAGGGCCATGGGCATCCTCACTGGATGGGCCCCGGCTGTCCACCTGTGTGCCTGTCCTGCCCTTGCTGTGCGTGCCCCGAAGAGACGCAGCCAACTGGGCATCTTTGCATCTCCGGGGCCGGGGGCCAGCCTGCAGGAGGGACCGGCGGGTGGAGGTGGCAGCAGATAGATTGGGGTTCACAAGCGAAGGCCTTTGTGTTGTCTGAGTTGCGAGTAACAGTGGGTGAGGCTGTGTGCCGCCTGGCACAGGAAGGGGCCGAGCAACGCCGTCCAGGTGCAGCTCTGGGGGGTGAGGGGCCAGGCTTGAGCCAGGGGGCTTGGGGTCACTGGCACGCAGGACACCCTGATGTCCTGCCAGGAAGGGGGGCACAGGCAGGATTGGTAGGCGGCAGCTTTTGCACGAGGCCCCACCGGGTAGCTCGGCGGGTGACAGCCTCCCCCTTCTGGTTTTAGACGGCGTGGAGGTGCTATGCTGCCGAGAACCCCGACTCCTCCACCTGGAAAATCTACGTGCGGAAGCCAACCCGGGGCCACACTCTGCTCTCCCCCAGCCCCAAGCCCAAGAAGTCTGTCATGGTAACCAGCCCCCATCTGCCCAGGATGAGGGCCACTCGTGAGTGGGCGGGAAGGCTGTGGGGGCAGCACCTGGCCAGGATTTGACCCTGGTGTTTCAGTGCATCACAGCCCATGTCAGGGCAGCAGCACCATTCAGGGTGCCGGGGAGGACGCCCCATGCTGGACCCCATCATACAAGGCTCCTGTCACCCCTTGAGTCAGTGTCCCCAGACTCACAGGCACGTAGGACGGGCCACTCCAAGGCCAGAGTTGGGGAGGTCCAGAGGAGGTGCTGCAAGACTGGGACAGGCTGCGTCCTGGGCAGCTGCTGGAGAGAAGGCTCTTGAGATGGCCTTGCTGTTGGGCTTTCTGTGGTTGGCATTGCGGGCAGCTGGGAATGGAGGTGGCATCAGCTCAGGGAACAGGGTGTTGCGGTCCCAGCCAGGAGAGTTCGGGCAGGCTTTGGGCAAGAGTCTCATGATTTGGCTGGAGTGGTGACTGAAGGTGGGCTCGGCCCCTTCAGCAAGCTCCCTCGGGGCCCCTGCCCACACCCTCCTCGGATGCACCCGTCTCTCCCAGTTCCCAGCTCCTTCTGGAGCCTTTGAACCTACCGTCTCCTCCGTCGGAATCTTCCCCTGGGTTCCCGCATGGCCTCTTCCTTCACTTCCCCCAGGTCACGTGCTCAGTGAGGCCTTGCTGACCCCCAGCTGACCCCCCCACACACATGCCCACATCCTCTGGGGTCACAGTGCTCGTCACCACCTGCCCTGGTGTGTTCTTGTACGTTTATCCGTTAGCCATGTCCTGTCCACCTGCCCCCCCTTGGCCGTGAACTCCTGGGGCAGCTACCGAGCCTCCCAGGGACCCCTCTGTGCGGGTGGGTCCTGGGGCTGGGCCCCTGAGCCCTGCTTCCTGACACAGGCCCAGTGGGGTTGCCGCGGGGGTTCCGGGGATGACGGGGCGCCAGGCACGGAGGCACGGACCGTCAATGTGTTGTCTGGTTTGTTAGGTAAAGAAGAAGAAGTTCAAAATGGACAAGGACAACGGCCTGAGTCCAGGAGAGAAGATGCTCACAATCCCCCACATCACGTGTGAGCCCTTCTCGGAGGAGCGGAGGCTGGACCACTTCTGCATGGACAGCTACGACAGCGCTGGTGAGAGACCCCACACGGGGCGAGGGCGTGAGGGCGGGGGCTGGTCGCTCAGCTCCGAGCCCCGGTGCTGGCATGGGCCTCTGGGGCTTCACGGGTGCCCAGCTCTCCCCCAGACTATACGCTACCGTCTGATGGACGTCAGGTGTCCACGGCCTCGCACTGGCCCCCGCTGGACGTTCTGGCCCTCCTTCCACCCGTGGCTCAAAGGCCTGACCCCACCCACCCTGGAGGTTCGGGACTCTGGGCTTCTCGGTCATGCTGTGTGGTTGCTACCCCGAGTCTGGCAGAGAGGAGGAGGCCCACACATGCTGCCCCCCATCTCGGGTGGAGAGGGAGCCGGGGTCCAGGGCCAGCACCAATGTCCCTTCCTTGGCCCCTTGCTCTTCTGTCGTTTCTGTGTCTGCCGCTCCCTTCTCGGGTCTCGCCCTGGGACCCACCAGAACGTGCTGGCTGATGGGTGGTCACGAGGACAGTCAGTGTCACTGTCCCAAGTATGGCCGAGCGGGACAAACTCATATGGGCTCCGACCCTCTGTGCTCATGGGCAGCTGGTGCCTGGCCCGCCAAGCGCTTGGTTCATGGGTGGCTGCCCCACGATGTGTCCTCTGCCCCTGGTCACTGTCTGTGGAAAAGTGTTCTAGAGAGGGGCCACGGCACGTCCTCTCTGGGAGCCAGGTGGGCAGGACAGAGCCTGGGCACCGGCCTGCAGCGCGCCAGGCTACCCATGGCCTCATCACATACGGCCAGGATGTGGCTCTGGCCCTGCCACGCCACTGGTAAACAGAACACAGGTCGGGGACCACAGGCAGGATGCGGGGGGGGGGCCCAGTTCAGGGCCTGAAGCGACACTGTCACCGTGGGCCTGAGGGGAGGAGCACACGTTGAGGGCAGTGACCCGGCCGTGTGGTGGCTTATGGCTCCTACTCCTGTTTGCGCGCTCCCGGGACGCACGTGTCCCTCGCAAGCTGTTCCCAAGGTCTGCAGCGAAACCCTTCGAGACTGGCCTTGTCACCTCTCTGAGAGGCTGTGCGTGCTGACTGTGTGTTTTGGTGACACCTGCAAGATTTATCCAATCGCAACCTGCCGGCCAACTGAGGCCCCTAAACCTCCCTGGGCCCGTGGGCCCTGAACCCCACCGCCCCCCATTTTATGGGCTGTTGTCACCCTGTGTTTGGGTTTTGCCTTTTTAAGAATCCTCTGAATTGTCCCTTGTTCCATGGCTGCCGTCGTACACAGCCGAGAGGTTCACCAACAATCGTGCCCGTTTTCTGTCCTACGGCTTGGGTTTGACTTCCTTCCCCTGTGCTCCCCTCCGTGAAAGTCTGTGGATGGCCAGCTCGGTTTCTGTTTGAAATTCTAGTGGTTCGCCTCTGCTCTCGGATGGTGGCTTCTTTGGGGAAATGGTAGAGGCTGAGGTGCGTCTTCTCTGAGCGCCTGAGAAGCGTGCGGCTCTTCCTGGCTCTGGCATTGCCGAGCGAACGCACAGCCTCGGAGGCGACCCGTCCCCCCTCTGGTGACTCGGTTCCTTTTCCTTGACTTCGCTGTTCCGCAGTTGAGACCGCAAGCAGCCCAGCTGGTAGGTTAGTTTAATGTCTCCCGCCTGCAGTTTTCTGTGATTCCTGAGTCTGGAATTTGTGTCTTCTAGAAACTTCTACCAGACCGAGTCGTCCGTCCTCCGGGGCCGTCTCTCATCTTTTCCGTCTCTGTCTCCCTGTGCTGCGTCCTCGGTCGGCTCTTCCCGGCTTACTGTCTTGTCAGTGTCTCAGCCATGGGCCGCTGCACACGTTGAGATTTTCATTTCAGTTAGACGTGTGTTCATTTCTGCGTCCTTTTTGGGGGCTCATGTGCTTTGTCTTGGCACCTCGTGTCTGCCTCGTATTTCACGATACAACTTCTTTGAATTTTGGGGTCATTTGAATTTGCTTCTTTCATCCTCGTCACCCATTCCTAGAAAGTCCAGCTCTGTGTCTGCGGCTCCTCCTGGCCCTTGCTCATGGTGACTTGTTTCCCTGTGGGCTTGTGAGCTTCCATCTGTGGGGTTCCTGGGTGCCCCGAAGGGACATTGCTCTGGAGAAGAAGTCCCTTTGCTTGTACAAGGCGACCCAGTGAACTGACCCAGGACATCTGTGGTGTGGGTTCGCAGGTGTGGCATTTCCTAGACAAGCTGTGCAATGTGAACGCCAATCGAATCTCCTTCAAGAGCAAGCCCAAGCCACTCACGTCGAGAGGAGGCCTTACGTAGACTCTAAGAAATGGACCAAGACAATGAAGTTCCTCTTTCTCCGTTTGCCAGTGCATGGGCGGGTTTGTTGGTTTGATTGGCGCCATCACCCTCGTACGCTTGGTCCAGCCTTTCCAGGGGCCCAGGTTCATGGGCAGGCACTGTTTCCGATTCTTGCTTCCTGCGGGTTTTAGGCCCTGCCTGTTCTCCTTGGGGAGTCATGGGGGACCATGAAGTCCCCAGCACAGCTCTCAGGTGGGCAGACTCCTGGGACTGCCTGGTGTCAAAGCCGGCTCACCGTTAGCTGTGCTGCACCTGCTTCCGCCTTGGCCTTGGGGGTGCCCTCCCTGAGCTCAGCAGTGTCCACAGAAGGACGTTTGTGAGTTTCAGCAAGCCTGTTAGGGGCTTTTCGTGGCATCAGGCCCTCTTACTGCCAGAAACAGAAGTCCTCATCCATAGACAGAGCTGTCCACAGCAAGGGAAGCCATGAGCTCCCTGCTGCAGGGGGCCGGGCAGTGACATTCCAGGTTGGCACTTTCCAGGGGGTCCCTTGAGTCACCTAGAACGTTTTACTTTTGACACAGACTCAGAGACCCACCCCTTGGGATCTTCAGCCACAGTACCTGTGGGGTGGCCCAGGAATGTGTGTCTGTAACGAGTACCCCCAATTACCGTGAAGCAGGTGGCCTGGGGACTGGCGTGGGGGACCGTGAGGGTGAGGAAGGAAATCAGAGCACAGCTGTGGCTTCCAGGTCTGTGTCTCTCCTCGGCCTCAAGTGGGTTGGTGAAAATTTTCTGAGGTCAGGAGTGATGCTACCCCAGGCTGTGGAGGGCTTCCAATTGTAACTTCTGGGGACCCTCGTGGTTTCCACCTCTAAGTTGTGCCAGCCTCGGGGTTCTGAGGAAGTTGTCCCTACAAGGCCTTGCAGGCTGAGGGCCTGTGCCTTCTCAAGTTGGGGGTGGAGATATGATGGGGCAGTGGGAGATGCTGGACCCGGCTCCTCAAACGCATTGTCAGCTCCTGAACCAAGACCTTTTCACCAGCCCTCCCCCCGCTGCTGTGCCCGCCTTACGGCCGTGTCGCTGTACCCTCCTCACCGCCTCTTCCCCTCCAACCTGCTCTGTGTGGCCAGTGCACAGGTGAACAAATGTGTCACTCCAATGCAGATGCAGGTGGGTTGTGACCCCACTCAATCCTCCAGGTTGCTACCCAGAAACGTCCATGAGTGTCCGGACAACTGCCCCCTCACCTTTCCAGCTCTGCCACCTCTGCCCACTGAGCCCTCGCTGCCCGCGCCCACACCCGTGGCAGGGCTTTCCACTGGCTGCATGCCTCTACCCGTAGGTCCCCCCACCACTGCCCGTCTCTCCGTGAAGACATGATGCCCACTCTCAAATTTCAGCACACTTGTTTTTGGGTTGGAAGAGTGGTGCATGCTCCTTACAGAGCATAAGGAACAAATGGAAGAGAATAATGAACAAAGAACAGCTGTCTGCTGTCTTCCGGCCCTGAGAGAGCAACTGTGAGGTGTTTAACATACGTCCCGCCCAGCCTCAGGCATGTGCAGCCCAGGGCTGGCTCCACCGGACTACGCAGCATGGCGACTGCCTTTTCACCTGCTGGGACAACTGTTACCACAGATCACTGGGAACTCATTTTAAATTGGCTTCGTTGTGTCCAGTCCAGTACCCACACGAGTGAGCCTGTGTCCCGGCTTGCTGGGCTAGACAGAGCCTGCAGGCTCCTTTGGCAGTGCCACGCGGAGGGCCCCCCACACGTTTCTGATTGTGCTGGAATCGGGGTCAGCATCTCACTGTTTTGACGGACGCTGTTGCTGGTTTTTAAACGTTCCCTCTGTCAGAGGGGAAATAAAAGCCCAAACTAGAGAACAGTTAGAAAAATAATGGTGACAGATAGTCTATATCAGACCCTACAGTGCATATTTGTAGTATTTAAATTATTATTGATTCATAAATTATGAACATCTAAGTATATCTAAATGTAACATCAAACCCAATGGCCAAGAAGGAGAAAACAATGAATAATATATAAATGGAGGAAGAAAGAAGTCCACGATTAGAGTGGAGGATTTTGATATACCTACCTCAAGAGCTGACAGAACAAACAAACAGAAAAGCTTTCCAGATATAAACCTGAAAACACTTGCAACCAACGTGACCTAATTAACATTTCTAGAACACTCCTCCCCACATATGGAGTCCCCAGCATATGGATTGTCTTCAAGGGTACACAGAACATTCACCAAGTTCGACCATATTCTGACCCATAAAACAAATCCCAATACATTTAAAATGCCCCAAGTGAAATTAAGCATGTCCTCTGACCACAGTGGAATTAAATTAAAAATCAATAATAAAAAGATCTCTGGAAAACCCTCAACTATTTGGAAACTAAGTAACATGCTTCACAATGGCACAGGATCAGAGGAGAAATCAAAAGAGAAACTAGAAAATATTTTCAGCGGAATGGAAATGAAAACGCAGCACATCCGATGTGTAGGCTCTGCGAGGGCAGCCCTCAGGGTAATGCACAGCACGACATGTGCACGGGAAGACGTGACCTCAGCTCCCATCTTAAGAAACTAGAAAAGGAATAGCAAGCCAAACCCAGAATAAGAAGAAACAAGGGAATAATAAAGACCAGAGGGGAAACAAATGAAATACAAAACAGAAAAGCAATAGAAAAAACAATAATGAAACCAAAAGCTGGGGTTTTTTAGATCAATAAAATGGATAAAACTCTACCTAGACATAGGAGA